TCCTCATCGCCACAAGGTAGGATCTAAGATGTATCCTTACCTGTGCTCGATCGGATTCGGTTCGGCTGGTCCTCCAACTGCTCTCTAGGCGTCTTTTCCGACGTTTCATCTCTCTCAGCCCCTCGGTAAACCAAGGGGATGGTCGAGATCCACGTCGGGTCAGAGGCCGCAGAGGCCGCAGAGGCCGCAGAGGCACGACCCCATATCATGTTGGCTTTTAAGGTAATAAGCCAGACCTTGAATTGGACCCAGAAAAAAGCCAGCACCCAAGGTAGTTCATGCAGCAAAGATGTTACATGTGTCATCCCTGGGGTACCCAAGATTGCTTGTGCAACTGCACCAACTGATGCTTTGGATATTCTTCAGGGTAGCCCCATGTAAAGAACATTGCAATGGTCATATGGAGATGACTAGACATGAGTGACTTAAGGGGGTCTCCTGATCCAGGAAGGGGCCTATCTGGTATGCCACACCGATTGGCAAAGGTCCTCTTTGCCTCAACTACTGCCTGCACCTCAAGCAGGAGTCGTGATCCCAGATTATGCACCGGGTCTACCTGAGCCAGTGCAAGCCCATCCAAGCCCCAAAGATGATAAATCCCTGGATACAGAGGAGCCCCCTACTCACAGCCACTCTGTCTTACCAGGGTTCAGCAGACGGCCATTGTTTCCCATCCTGGCCCCCACAATATGCCTTGTCTATAAAGTCAAGAAAATTCAGAAAACATTTTTGGTAATGTATACTACATTCATAGGCTACAACATACTTGGAGCTACTGCACCAGAAATTGTATTGGCTTTTGCTATAGCTCTTGTATGATTCTTAGTCTTTAGATTTTGTTTATACATTCCATAAATAAATAAGCACATTGTGGATAGAAATGCAGAAAGATGGACATTTCTGCATGCAAATGTGGCTCAAGTATTCTTCAATGTTCAGATGAGGACTGATGGTCATCCTGATGCTGATAAGATTAGCAATTCTCAATAACAGTGAGTGCTTTTTCATTCAATTGTACTAGTTAATGATAGATAATAGAAGCTGTTATATACATTCCTATGGCAACTCCAGTTTCAGCTGAGGGGAAGGCAGAATAGCTGCCTAATGTGTGGATTATCCGTACTTGACAAAAGAAGTCCAGTGAAGTAGTTTGGACATTTACTGAATAATCCAAGACACTAATAGCTAGTAATATAAAAAGCTGATGTAAGAAGGGTGTGGTCCTTTAAATGTGCTCCTTCACTATGTATGATTTAGCTAAGCTTTCTTAATGCTGTGTCTTGGTGAAAAGACAAAATTAAAGCTCATTTCATGTTATAATTGGTTACATTACAAAATGTATAACTGGGTAAATTCTGAAATGCAACACTTTAAAAAAATTGAGTTTGTTATATTCTAAAGACAGTTCAAAATAGTTTAAATAGCTAAAATATAGAGCAGTGTTTAATCTTAAAGTTGGTCCTAGGACCTCAGTCGGGTTCCTGAAGATTCTAGAGTCCATAAAATCAAAATTATTGGTCAACCAATGTTGAAAACTAGTACAATATTAAAATTCAATCAAACAATTGTGAGGAGTGATAGTGGCAGTTAAATGCAACAATTTTAATTTTTCATATCTAAATAAAAATGTAAATGTTTGTTTGTTCAAAATCTTAAATCTCTGAAAGTTCTTCACTGATTGCTTTGAAATTTTGACACAACGTTGCATTCGAATACGCGCGTGTTTTTATATGCCTATATTATATAGATGTCACACCTGTGACAGGTAAAACATGCTTTTTTGAAAAACAGCGCCATCTGTTGGATGTAAAAGCAACACACGCTTTTACCAGACTGAGCCACAGCAACGCGTGGCTGGGTACAGCTAGTGATAAATATAATCCATATAAACATGCGTTCTCCATAATTTTTAAAAATGAAAAGAATCCTGAGAAAAAAAAAGTTTAAGAAACATTGATATAGAGGAACTTTTGCATCTGTTTTGAATTATCGATGTGAGGCTGATACAGAAACAGCTACTGGTAACTTGTTTAATACTGAAAACTAGACAAGACTATATGTGACCTCTCTAAAAGTAATGGCCATGGGAAAGTTGGTAAATTTAATTCCCATATATTCAGTTTGAGATGTGAGAAAGTATTTGCATGGTAATCCATGCAACAGTAGAAACATCAGTAGAATTGCTTGAATATAATCTAAAATGTTTTGAATTAAGCAGGACTCAAAGTACTGTATAACATTATGAACCCTAAAGCAGTCTTTCAGAGCTTTTAAGTGTGAATGCCTCATCTGTTGTAAAATTCATTACTAGTAACAATTTGAGAAAAGATTGCATGTATGTCAGGATGGCCGAGCGGTCTAAGGCGCTGCGTTCAGGTCGCAGTCTCCCCTGGAGGCGTGGGTTCGAATCCCACTTCTGACAAAAATCTTTTATTTCCTGCCATGGTAATTAATATAGGCTTCTCGCAAAGAGCCCACTGTTTTGCAAATTTGAACGCGATCGCTTAATTATAAGCATACTCTAGGCTGTTCTTTAGTATAAACCAGGGGTAGGCAACCTCGGCTCTTTTATGACTCGTGGACTTCAACTCCCAGAATTCCTGAGTCAGCTGTGCTGACTCAGGAATTCTGGGAGTTGAAGTCCA